GGCGTGGGGGAGGGGACGGGCCTGGGCGGGTGGGGACGGGCCTGGGCAGGGCCCACGCCTACCTGGAGGAAGCGGATGAGGTAGCAGAGCACCATGCGGTTGATGCGGGGCAGCGCGTGCACCACAGCCACCGCAGCCTCAGGGCTGTCATAGTGCGCGATGCACTGCTCGTAGAACTCGTGCGGGATCAGGGGCTCCTCCAGCTCCCGATACCAGAGCTTCAGCAGTGATGCTGGGGACACAGCATGGGGCTCAGCGGGCCTGCTCAGGGCGGGCACCCCGGGCCAAGTGGGCTCCAGTGGAGGACACACATGGAGGAGCGGTGTGGGCAGGGGCAGAAGACAGTGTGACAGGCTCGGAGGGTCTGCCCACTCCTGGCCAAGGTGGACCAGACTGGACCCACGCTCCAGAGGGCCTCTAGGGTCCTAAGGGCAAGGCATGGAGGACTATACTGGCAGTGATGTGCAAAATCTGATTTCTGAAAAGGAGGACTGCAGCTGCTGTGAAGAGGGGCTGGCAGGACAACAGGCAAGGCTGGAGGGAGACACCCGGGCAGAGAGTAGCATCCTGGGAGTAGGCTGGGCTGCCCTGCCAGGCCATAAGCCATGGTCCTTTTCAGGAACTTGGGGTACCCCTAGGTGCCCACTGCAAAGGAGAATATCAGTGTTGGAAGTGGGCTGGGTATCCATCCTGTCAACGAAGGGGCAGGAGCAGGGTGGGCCTCAGACTCAAAAGGAAGAGGGTCATGAGATGTGGCCACAGAGCAGGTCTGGACAAAAAGACCAGGAAGAGAATGGATGGAGGCCTGGGCCTGAATGGCTCGCTATCCTCTGGGCTGTGAATGTGGACCAAGGACCCCCTGAGACCCAACTATGTCAGGCCTGGCCTGCTGCTGAATGTGTTAAGGGCTCACCAGGGACGTGGGGGTCCTCCAGGCCTGTAGGCACCTTCCACTGGTCCACCTGCAGCTTCAGGGCATTCACCTCATCAATGTCCCCAGGAACCCTGCAGAATAAAGGGCAGGTTTCAGACTGGAGGTGGTCAGCCTTCCTGGGGCTCATGACTCAGCCTGGATACTCCCTCCTTTTGGCCCCTGTTGACCAAGGGAAGGGGCAGAGAGCCTCAGGGTCCCTTGCCCCTGACTGACCTCTTTCCCATCAAGGTAAGTGTTTCCCCAGGCCACCACCCCTTCCTGGACCCTCAGCTGACTCCCTGGGTAGATGCTTCCTCCACAGGGCCACTGAGGCGAAAACCTGTAAGCCTCTGTTTCCTCATCTGTCCTTCTGGAGCCAGGGCACCCCTAATCCTGACAGGTAAGTCACAACAGGTGACTGCTGCAGGAACAGCTATGTGCCACTCTCCACAGGCCAGAAGCTATCACATCCATGTTCACAGATGAGGGTGGCGAGAAGCTGGCTGCATGCTCTGCTCTACCAGCTGTACATCATCACTGAGGCTCACATCTTAGGCACTGCTTGTGGCTGATGTCCAAGCATGTTCTGGATCACTGGAGGCCTTATTATCAGGGGCACCATCCTTTTCTGGCTGTGCTGTCCAGCTGACCTGCCTCCTAAGGATGGGGGATCTGCCCTATTCTCTTCTGGCCTGTATAGTCCTCAGGGTTAGCTTCCATACCTCCTGTCTGCTCTTAGCCAAGGGCACAGAAGCTTAGTGATCCCTGCATGCCAGAGGTGCATAGTGGACATATGGCTGTGGCCCCCACACCCAGTGCCCGGGGTTGCTGTGGTACCTGAATATGCCCTCTGTCTGGTCACCGTTGAGTGCCAGCACCTCCTCAGAGAGCCGTGTCTGTACCCAGGGCAGCTGCCGGTCAGGGTAGCGCTCCTTCTGCATGCTCATGACCTCCTGCAGCGCGCTGCCAAACATGGACGGGCTGAACACAGCATTCTTGGCGTGCCGGATCTCTTCCACGTTGGGCTTCTTTAGCCCCTGTGAAGACAGACCAGCTCTCCCGTCCTGGTCTGGCTTAGCCTCCCCACTTCCAGCCCTCCTCTCTCCTACACACCTCCAGGGCTGCCCCTGGCTCAAGTACCCTCTCCTCATCCCTGTGAGCCTCTAGCTCCTACTAGAGCCAGAGGCAAGCCCAGCTCCCTGGCCCAAGTCACCATCTGCAGCACCAGGAGCTTCAAGTGGTCCTGCAGGAAGGTAGGGGTACTCCTGGATGGGGCTAGTCTGAGCTGTCAGGGACCACAGTGGGGCCAGGCCAGCTGATCTAGGGTGATACTTTTGGAAGTCTGTAGCAGAGCTGAGAGCTCTGGTGAAGGGTCAGTGTGGGGGGAACAATGCATCAGAGGGAAGGAGTAGGGAACGGAGGCCAGGTCTAGGGCCAACTGAGGGACTTCCTGAGTGGAAATGAGTTACAGGGAGGAGGGGGTACAGACGTCACATCTGGCCTGGGTACACAGGATGGGACAAGGCCAAGGAACAAGGTCCTGTTGTATGGTGTGACTGAAGCTTTAGCGTCCTCTACAGAAGGGAAGACCAAGCTGGTGGGAAGACTCAGGATAGGGAGAATAAAGGCTGGCCTCTGAGAAGGGGTCTGGCTGCCACACTCTTTGGGGGCACTGCTGGGATGCAGGCTGGAAAGCCTGACACTACCCAGGGTCTGGGCTTGCTCGCCCAGTTTGTGGGGTGGTGCCCCATACATGGGCTCAGGGCTCTTAGGGACTGTGATGGCTGAAGTGGTTTTCTGGGTCTGTGATGCAGCCCAAGGATGGGCTTCTTTTGGACCCAGGGGCAGCCTGCCAGGGGGGTGAGGGTCCCCTCCAAAGGGTGGCTCTGGGCCTGCCCTCTTCACCTTGCCACACCAGCTGGATGACATGCCTGGGATTCTCAAGGGCAAGTGCTGCCACAATACTGCCCCTGTGGATTTCCATTCCGCACACTGCAGGCTGAGCATGGCTGGGCAGCTGGCAGGTTCCCACCCTCAGGTAGGCCAACTGAACTCTGACCCCTAGGGCTGCCCTGACCCTGTTCTCAGACCCCTTTGTCTGCATTTCTCCTGAGCTGGAGGGCTGGGCATGAGCAGGAGCCCCCTGAGAGAGAAAAGGAGGCAACCCAGAAGATCACAGAGTCTGCCCAACAACCCCTGCCCAAGTTCCTCCCTGGCCATCTGCCTAAGTGGGCTCACAGGGTCCCCCTGGGCTGCCTGCCCAAAGGTCTGTATCCTCTGTGGACCTGTCTGGCCTGTCCACCCACCCCTGCTCCCCCAAAAGCACATGTACCTTCTTGGCCCCTGTCAAGGCTGCCTTCTGTAGCTTGTGGTAACAGTACTTGGCATATGTGCTTATTGCCACCCCTGGAAAAGAACAGGTGCCAGTCAGCTTGGTGCAGATGTAGTATGCGGGGCCAAGAGAGGGATGAGCAAAGACAACTCCTTTAAGGACTCTGGCCAACTCCCTGCCCAGCACAGAGCATCCTCAGTCTCCCAGGCAATGTCCTTCACAGCAGAGACCCAAGGGACACTTCCCCACCTCCAGGGAGGCCAGGCTGGGGGAGGGACCCCTCTGCCAGTCTACCCACCCCTCCCACAGCCACCCAGAAATAGGAAGTGCAGGCCAAGGAGTCACAGGCAGGGCAGGGCAGGGTCTGGATGGGCCCCGGGGAGTGGCTCAAGTACTTGGGTACTTGGTTCATCTCTGCTTCAGCCCCCTCCCTGGGGGGGCGGGGGCTGTGGACTCCGGTTGGAGCCTGTGGAGGAGAGTCATTTTCACATATCAAGCAGGCCTAAAGATACCCAGCAACTAGGGTCAGTGCTGGGAGAGCTGGGTGCTGAGCTAAGTGATAGCTAGCCCTGCTTTCCTGCAGCTCTAGGCCCTAGGACCACCTCTGGGCTCCTCCTAAGGACTGTAGGTGGCAACGAGAGAGCTCAGTCTCCTTTTTCAAGTAAAAGGGCTTTCTAAAACCCAGCCCCCGATGGGAGAGGTTCTAGCTTAGTCCTGGAGGGATGGAGGGGCAGTATATCCTGAGTCGACATCTGTGGGCAAGGGTTCATGGACCTTAGCCAGGGGACTTTCCAGATAAAGGCAAGGGGAAGGAGCTAGCGGGGAGAAGGAAGAGGAGGAGGGGTAGGGAGGAGAAGGAAGAGAAGGAGGGATAGGAAGGAGAAAGAGGAGGTAGGAGGCGGAGGAGGGGAAGAGAGGTGATGATTCCCAGGGTAGGTCTAGACTATGTGGCAACTTCCTGACCCAAGCAGGGAAGGGAAAGGAAGCAGATGAGACAACATGCCAAGAGAAGCTGGTCTAGGCCAGGGAAGCCACAGACAGATGAACAGGACGACAGGACTGTGCACTTCTGGAGGTGGGACCTGCCCCTGCTCTGGAAGGCTCTGCCCCTACTGGGCCTACTTGCCCCAGTGTCTGTCAGGGTGAGGGAGGCCTCTAGATCTCAGCTTTCGATCAGAATGCCTTTGTCATCTTTAAGGAAGCAGTTTCTGGTGGACAGCCGAGGACACAGGGTCCTTGGACTAGGTTCAAAAAACACATGTCTGAGTCCATGAAAATCTTTTCATTTCTAATTATCATAAAATAGTTCTGTCATTAAAACTGCTAAGAGGATTCTTTTTTACAGTAACCAAAATGAAAACAATTTAAAAATTTTCATAGATGTTTAAGTCCTAGAAAATCTGTCTCAGGGTCTGGTGACCACAGACCCCTGGTAGAGCATGGTTTCTGCCTCCAGTGTGAGACAGTGTTCAGAACATTCTACATAGTCTATCTGGGTCTTTGGGGCAGGTTCTGGGCCCTTGTTTGACAATGGATGGTGCCCAACCACACTGGACTCTGGCCGTACTGGTCATGCAGAACCTACGTCGAAATGTGCAGAGAGGTAGCAGACAGAAGCCTGGGACCTTAGCTTAGAGGCCAGGACACATGGTCACTAAGCAGGTAGGTCTGGGGCAGATAAGGGATCAACATCCAGGCCTTCAGCCTGATCCTGTGTGGGACCAGAAAAGCCCCCCAACATACCATGAGGTGGAATATCTTGGGGTCACCAACTCTCAGCTGGTGATGGTGGTGGGTCTTTGTACCTCAGCTTCCTCCTCTGTAGGATGGAACTAGGGATAGTACCTGTCTCACAAGTATCTGTAAAGGGGTGAGCTTGGAGCCCCAAGCCAGTGAGTGCTCAGCAGCAGACCAGGAACTGAGGCCATATTTGCCCCAAAGACTAAGGAAGATGGGGTGACTTCTGCTCGTACTGCCTTAGGCACAGGGCCAGGCACCAAGGGGCATCTGCAGAGTGTCCATGGTGGGGGAATGGGCAATGCCCACAGCCAGCCTAGGAAGACCCTCACCTGTGTGGGGTGCTCTGATCCAAGCTCTCTGCCCCAACCTGGCCTTGCCTGGACTCAGTCCTCACCTCCATCCACCCAGCTGCAGACAAACCCAGTTTTACAGGTGGAACAGCTGTCCACAGAGGAACCAATAGAAGCAGTTTTCCTAAGTCTGTGCTGCCCTGCTTGGGACTCAGGCCTGCCCTAGGGACCTTAGAGCCAAAAGACCAAGTCATAGGCCTCAAAGGCCTATGTGTGGCCAGGGCCTGCTGTTTCTTGGTGGTGGCCACACTCCCTACCTGACATACTTCAGGCTGCAGTGTCCTGCTCAGCTCCACCCCTAGGTCCAAAAGAGCCTGACCCCTGCCCCACCTGGCTGCAGCAACATGACTCTCATGGTCAGCTGGCATCTGTCCAACTTCTAGGCCATGAGCTGCCAGCTCAGTAGGAGCTTGGGGGTCTTTCTATGCTTCCCAGATGGAGTGGTCTGAGGACACCTGTGACCAGGAATCCTACCCCTGGACTGCAGCTGCACTTCTTTTTCCCAGGGCCCTGGACAAGGCTGGGCCAGGTGACTCAGGGCTAGGCCAGTGGCCCCTGGCATAGACTTTCTGGGGGTAGCCTTGGAGGCCCCAGAGTGAGGACAAGTCCACAGCCCTGGCATTGCTCAGGAGGGACACTGAAGCCATGGCAGCCTCTTGCTGGCCCTGGAGTTTACCCTAACCAGGCCATATCTACAGAAAGCCCTTTGGTCTTGTCCTGGGCCACCATGGGCAGCACGCAGTCAGAGGATTCCCAGAGGATAGGGTACCTAAGCCAGGAGTCTCAGGGAAAGGAGAGTGGAGCAAAGAGAAGGTGGCAGGGTTCTGCACAGATGAGTGGGCATGAAACATGGCTTGGCAAGAAAAGAAGCTTTGCATAAAGTACAGGAGGACCAAGTCTCTGCCGGAAGGAGCAAGATGGTCGTAGAGGTCCTGGTGCCTGGTACAGCTGACTTGGTCTAGCAGAACTCTTAACAGGGAGGACACAGGGTTACAGGGCTTCCCTGGGGTTATAGGGCTTCCCTGGGGCTCAGGTCAGGCAAGATGGTCCTGGGTTAGGGCCCAGGGGAAGGATAGGGAGATGAGTGCAAGTGACAATGTGGGTGAAAAGGATGCCAATGGGGAAGGTGGGGACATCCCTGTGCTTTTAGCAGCTGTGTTGGGCCACCATCGAAGGGAGGAAAGATTCTTGTGATTCTGAATGCCAGGCTTGGTTCCTGTGGCCTAGGGGCAGCCCTAGGCTGGAGGACAGGGCTGGGGAAGCACTTGTCTACAGCATACCCCATATTCCTCCATCTTCGAGCCTCATCCCAGGGGCCAGGATCGGACACTCATGGGGCAGGGAGGTGCCTCTACCAGTAGGTTCTGGCTGGCTAGTCCTCATGTCCCTACCCCACCAAGAACACAGCAAGCAAGCTGGAAATGGTTCTGAGTACCAAGATAGGAGTAGGCAGGCATGGCCTCTCTGGGAGGCCTTTCAGCCACCTGGGGTCTTCAGCTCGCTCAGGAGACTGCAGGCCTAAGGTTAGTGGCCCCATCCCCCAGCCCAGAAGCAGTTAGAGAAGAGGAGGCCAGGTGGCCAAGGCTGGAGAGCAGAGCTGTGCAGACACAGCGCACAGGGGCTGCAGGGAGAGGCCCTACCATCCGGCTCTTCAACATAAGGCTTGGGTTTCTTTCTCAATTTGGACTTCTTCTTAGTGTTCCTTTCCAGGAGCTCTTTTATGTGCTGTGTCACTGGAGAGCAAAGAGAACCATGAGGACCACAGAACACAACTCCAGGAGTGAATGCCCATGCAGTTCCCGCACTTGGCCGGCAAGGAGGCCTCTGGGCCTGTTGGGGGCTGACCCCATTCAGGTGGGGACTGATCATGTCTGGGGCAATATGGTATGTGTGTGCATGTGTGTAAGGTGCCAGGGGCCCTTCTGAGTATTATGAGGACCAGAAAGCTGCTCTCCCCATGCTGGAGGTGAGCAGAAGGTACAGTGAAGTCGTGCCAGGGTAGTAAGGAAGGGGTGCAGTCAGCTCATGGCCCTCTGGCTGAGAGCAAGGCTGGGGAAGCCATGGGCCTGTCCTCTTGAGCAGACAAGGAGGTATTCAGCCTGCCCTGCCCCTAACCAGGCACTGAAACAAGAGGGGAGGGGGCTGGCTGGTCCAGGCATGTCTCCTGCTCTGCACAATGTTACTTATTTCTGTTGCTGTTGACCTTGATCACCTGGCAGAGGTCATATCTGCCAGAATTCTGCATGGGGGAACTGCTGTTTCTCCCATTTTCATACCATACACTTTGGAAGGAAGTTACTATGCTCAGCCCATAACTAAGGGGTAGAGTATCTCCGTAAGTTATTTGTAATTCTTCTGTACAGATTTGTCTACACCTATCTATCAAATCATATATTATTTATCTTTTTTTTTTTTTTGAGTTGGAGTCTCACTCCGTTGCCCAGACTGGAGTGCAGTGGCTGCTCCTGGCCACCGCAGCCTCGACCCGCTGGGCTCCGGCAATCCTTCTGCCTCAGCCTTCCGAGTAGCCAGAATTACAGGCGCACGCTACCATGCCCAGCTGATTTTTGATTTATTGTAGAGATGAAGTCTCGCCAAGTTGCCCAGGCGGGTCTCGAACCCGCGGGCTCAGGCAATCCAGTCACCTCAGCCTCCCAAAGGCGCGGGATTACAGGCTGAGCCACCGACCCCGGCTTGTTGAACTATTTTTTTAAATCAAGGTCTCACTCTGTTGCCCAGGCTGGAGTGCAGTGGCATGATCAAGCTCATGGCAACCTTGACCTCCTGGGCTCAAGTGTTCCTCCTGCCTCAGCCTCTCAAGTAGCTGGAACTACAGATGCACACCACCACCATGCCCAGGTAATTTTAAAATTCTTTGTAGAGATGAGGTCTTGAACTCTTGTTCTCAAGTGATCCTCCTGCCTCAGCCTTCCAAAATGCTGGGATTACAGGCATGAGAAACCATGCCCAGCCTCGAATCATTTATTTATTCAATAGATGTTTATTTTATTTATTTATTTATTTAGAGTTGGAGTCTCACACTCTGTTGCCCAGCCTGGAGTGCAGTGGCCGCTTCCGGCCACCGCAGCCGCGATCTGCTGGGCTCCAGGGATCCTTCTGCCTCATCTTGGAACTACAGGCATGTGCTACTACGCCCAGGCAAGTTTTGATTTATTGTAGAGATGAGGTCTCGCCAAGTTGCCCAGGCAGGTCTCGAACACGCAGGCTCAGGCAATCCACTCACCTCAGCCTCCCAAAGCGCAGGATTACAGGCTGAGCCACCGAGCTCGGCTGATGATTATTTTATACCTTGGGTTATAATCTAGGAGTGACTTTATTTATTGCTCAAATTGTTCTAGCTTTGACTACAGGTAGCTCTTTCCCTTGGTTCCTGCATCCCTGTGACAGCCCCATCTCCCCTACCTCCAGTACTTCCTCACTTTTGATACTATATCTTGTATGTTTCCTGCACCAGTCATTTCGTCAAGGAACTCTTAATTCCTTTTAATGGAAAACCAAGATTTGGGTGTTATATGTGCTTATTGCTACTGGGATATTATTGTTTCTAGGCCCTCTCAGCTGACAGGTTGAGGAAACACGTGTGTTTACACTAACCCTTGTACATACGCACATATAAATATTTCTATAGTCATCAATATCTATGTTAGTGAAACATGAGCTCACACTGATGTCTCCAATTTATTTCATTATCACATTAATCATTCTGGCTTCTTTCCCTTGCTTGTCTATAACTGGCTTATCTTTTCATTCTCTTAACAGTAGTCTTTTGTAGGAGATTTAACTTTGATAAGACCCAATTTATCAATGTTTTCCTCTTATAGATAGTACTTTGGCACTACATACAAAAATATTTGTCTAACTCAGGAAAACAAAGATTTTTCTCCTATGTTTTGTCCTATAAGTTTTATGGGTTTAGGTTTTATATTTTGATTGATGATTGATCCATTTTCAGTTTTTTTCTTTTTAATTTTCTGTAGAGACAAGGTCTTGCTATGTTGCCCGGGCTGGTCCTGAACTCTTGGGTTCAAGCAATCCTCCTGCCTCGGCTTCCCAGAGTGCTGGGATTATAGGCATGGGCCACTGAATCTGGCCATTATCAATTAATTTTTGTGTATAGTGCAAAGTATGAGTTGAAATTCATCTTTTTTTTTTTTTTTTTTTTTTTGCATTTGGATATTCAGTTGTCCCAGCACCATTTAAGAAAAAGTAATCTTTCTTCATAAATTGCCTTTGCACCACTGTGGAAAACTAGTCCATGCACATGTGAGTCTATTTCTGAACTCATGATTCTGCTCTACTCATCTTCTATGTACCTTTAGGCTGATACTACACTCTCTGGTTACTGTAGCTTTATAACAAGCCAGGTGGTGTAAGTCCTCCAACTTTGTTCTTTTTCAGAGGAGTTTTGGCTATTCTAGGTCCTTTGTATTTTCTATGAATTTTATAATCGGCCTATCCATTTCTAAAATAAAAAAAACCCAAAAACCTATTGGCCAGGCATGGTGGCTCAGACCTGTAATTCCAGCACATTGGGAGGCTGAGGCAGGAGGATTACTTGAATCCAGGAGTTCAAGACCAACCTGGGCAACATAGTGAGAATTTGTCTCTAAAAAAAAATTTAAAAATTAGCTGGGCATGGTGGCATGTGCCTGTGGTCTCAGCTACTCAGGAGGCAGAGGTGTAGGATCATCTGAGCCCAGCAGGTCAAGGCAGCAGTGAGCCAGAATTGTACTACTACACTCCAGCCTGGGCCACAGAGTGAGACTCTGACTAAAAAAAAAAAAGAAAAAAAAATTAAAAATTGTATTAGAATTTAATCTATAGATAAATTTGGTTACAACTGACATCTTAACAATATTGAGTTCTGATTCATAAGCATAATATAACTTTTATTATTACTCATTTCTTTAGGCTTGCTTTACTTTCAGCAATGTTTTGTGTTTTTGTTTTGAGTTGGCATCTCACTCTGTTGTCCAAGATGGAGTACAGTGGCACGATCATGGCTACTGCAGCCGCAAACTTCTGGGCTCAAGTGATCCTTCTGCCTGAGCCTTCTAAGTAGTTGAAACTACAGGCACATGCCACCAAGCCCAGGTAATTTTTTAATTTATTGTAGAGATGAGGTCTCACCCAGTTGCCCAGGCTGGTCTTGAACCCTGGCTCAGGCAATCCTCTTACTTTGCCTCCCAAAGGGCTGGGATTACAGGCATGAGCCACCACACCTGGACTTGTTTTGTCTTTTTTTTTTTTTTTGAGTTGGAGTCTCACTCTGTCTGCCAGACTGGAGTGCAGTGGCCGCTCCCAGCCACCGCAGCCTCGACCTGCTGGTCTCCAGCGATCCTTCCGCCTCAGCCTTCCAAGTAGCCAGAATTACAGGTGCGCGCTACCACGCCTGGCTCATTTTTTATTTATTGTAGAGATGAGGTCTAACCAAGTTGCCCAGGAGGGTCTCGAACCCGCGGGCTCAGGCAATCCACTCACCTCAGCCTCCCAAAGGTGCGGGATTACAGGCTGAGCCATTGAACCCGACTGTTTTGTCTTTTTTACTGTAGAGGTCTTACATATCCTTTGTCAGATTTCATATTTGCAAATTTATAATAATTTCTAATAGTTTGCTAGTATATAAAAATATAGTTAATTTTTATATATTGGTCTTATATTCAGCAATCTTGTTAAACTTACATATTGTTAAACTTACATATTACTAGTAATGTTTTTATAGATTATGAAAGATGTTTTATATAAAGGATAATGTTGTCTGTGAATAAAGACAATTGTACATGTCTTTTCCAACCTGGATATCTTTTTCATGACTTAATAGACTGGCTAGGACTTCCACTATGATGTTGAGTAGATGTGGTGAGATTGGAGATCCTTGCTCCTGATATAGGTATGGTATTTTTTGAATTGTGGTAAAAATATAAACATAAAAATAGCACTGCTGTAGTTAAAAAAATGCAACCATTTTAAAGTACAATTCAGTGGCATTTATTGTACTACATTCATAATGTTGTGCCACTACTATCACTATCTGCAAAACCTTTTCATCTTCCTAAAATAAACCTTCGTACCCACTGAGCAATAATTACCTGTCCCCACTTCCCCAAGATTACTTTCTGTCTCTATGAATTTGCCTATTCTAGATATTTCATATAAGTATTATAGAATCATACAATAGTTGTCCCTCTGTGTCTGGCTTCTTTTACTGAGCCTAGTGTTTTCAAAATTCATCCATATTATGGGATGCATCAGCATTTCATTCTTTTTGTGGCTGAATAATATTCCACTGTATGGATATACTACATTGCTTATCCATTCATCCGTCAATGGACACTTGGGCTATTTCCACCTTTTGGCTATTGTGAGTGATGCTGCTATGGGCGTTGGTATACAGGAATCTGTTTGAGTACCTGCTTCCAATTGTTTTGGGGTACTATAGTTTTTTAATATATGCCTTATTGGGGTAAAGAGGTTCCTTTCTAGTCTTAGTTTTTGGTGGTTTTTTTGAGTTGGAGTCTCACTCTGTTGCCCAGGCTGAAGTGCACTGGCACACTCCCAGCCACCTCAGCTTCAACCTGCTGGGTTCAGGCAATCCTTCTATCTCAACCTTCCAAGGAGCTGGAACTACAAGCATGTGCCACCACGCCTAGCTAATTTTTTGATTTATTGTAGAGATGAGGTCTCACCAAGTTGCCTGGGCTGGTCACGAACT